TTCCTTAAAATCATACTTGCACATGCTCTTAAAATCTTTTAATGTTAATGGCTGTAGATGGTATCGAATGACAAATTCAAGAGTGTAGCTCATAGAGTGACAGCCAACCACAATGGACCTAGAATTTCTGTGGCATGCTTCTTTTTCGGAGATGGTGGAACGGATGAGAAGCCATACGGCCCTATCAAAGAGTTAATCTCAGAGTCAAGTCCTCCCCGATACAAAGAATTCCTTGTTAGGGAATTTGTGATCAAATTTTTGTCCAGACCACTAGACAAGTCTGGTCTTGATTATTACAAGATATGAAGTTAACATGACTGCCATCATAGAACAATGGTATTTTCACCGTCCGAGAAACAAAGATGAAAGTCTAATAATGGTGCTTTTGAACTGAATAGATTATATCAAGTTTCAGTAATGCTATGTTGGTGTTGTCGTTGTTATTACTTTCCAGATTCTGCAAGAACATAGAAATTGCCAGAAAATGTTCTTAACTAAGGAAATATTGTATTTGAATTTCTTTAAATATCATATTCACTTAATGGTAACACCTACTAGTAAGAACTGTTAGAGATTTGAACCTTGCTTAACTAAGTAGCTAACTCTTGATGTATTGAAAAAAGAAGAAGAAGAAGAAGAAGAAGAAGAAGAAGAACAGTGAGCTGGTGTTGGAGAACAGGAAATTTGTTTATCTTACGAGCAGGAAATGGATCCTGAAACTTAGAATATTTCTTCAGCTCCAAGGAAGCATCAATCTCATAAGTTGATCCGTTAAGAATCAGAGAAAAAGTAGTATCCTGAAGCAGCAATGGAAAAATCCAGAGAAAATAAAATAGAAAAAACAAAGGCAGAAAAGAAAATGGCAGAAAGAAAGCAGTTGAAGGTCTAGATGCAATTTAAACACAGTTTCTGTCATAAACTCAAAAATTAAAAAATTAGAAGAGAGGGAAAAAGACTAAAAAAGAAACTAGGCTGCAGATGGCCCAAGCTCATGATCATGAGACGTATAAACATTATGGAAACCTTTAAAATTCCATTGTTTTCATTCTCTTGTTATTTCTTGGGGTTCTTAACTGGAGAATGGAGACCTTATATGGTCAATGTTGGATTTTGCGGAATCAAATTGTTGAAGGCTGTTGATGACACAAAAACAGTGTTAAAGGGTACATCTCCAAGATATTCATTGTTTCCTTGTATATAAAAGGATATTCTGTATCTTGGTATTTTTCAATCAATATACAGAATTATCTTCCTCTGATTCCTTGTTCTCCTTCCTCACCGCTTTCGTTTTCTCCCTTATAAAATCAAAAGCACGTGAGTTGCCGCTTTTGACTTTATGGGGGTTGGTTATTTTCTTGCTTCGTTTGGTAGCTGAACATTTTTTAATAAAATAATGGCCAAAGCTAATAAAACAAAAAATTTGCTCATCCATGATGCAAAAAATAATTCCATTGTTTTCAGGTACAACGTATGACATTAAAAATTTATTTTCTCAGCAATCTACTCTGCTTTGGAAGCATTTGAATTCTCAGGGGATACCTGTGCCTGCATCTGATCTTCTCTGCAAAGAAAATGTCAGCTACCGGAGAATTGTCGCTTGAAACTTCATCAGAGTATGACAGAACCAAAGAGTTGAAGGCTTTTGATGACACAAAAACAGGTGTTAAAGGACTAGTTGATGCAGGGATTGTTAGCATCCCCAAGATATTCATCCGACCGCCTGAGGAGCTTGCTGAGGAACTAAATTTATGCCATGGAGACGTCGAAGTTCCAGTTATAGATCTCAGCAACATCCAGAGCTCTGATCGACGGAAGGAGATTGTAGATGAAATCAGGGTTGCATCAGGAGAATGGGGCTTTTTTCAGGTAATAAATCATGAGATCCCTTTAAGTGTGTTGGATGAGGTGATTGATGGGATACGCAGGTTCCACGAGCAAGATGCTGAGGTGAAGAAGGAGTTCTATACCCGTGATCTAATGAAGAGAGTAAGGTGTGAGACAAATTATGATCTATTTTTGTCACGCTCTGCTAATTGGAGGGACACTCTGCACATTACTAAAGTAATTTCGGATAATATTGATCCTGGAGAATTACCAGCTGCCTGCAGGTACATAATTTGATTTCTTAGCTCAGTTAATTTGCACTTTTTTATTTCAAGCATCATGTAGGATCTGACCTTTATTAGATGAACATTGTAGGATTCTTTTATTCTTGAATCTTAATCACCTTGACAATAGGCTGATTTCATCTGGCAAGTGTCTCATATCTGTTATAACATGATTGATGGATTCTGGCTCTAAGTAATATTGAGAACTTGAGATGTTCTCTTTTCAGGAATAAAAAAAGAAATAATTCCTGAACTGTCTGTTTAAAATTTGCAGCAAATCATCGGTGGAGTATATAAAGTGCATCAGAAAGTTGGGAAACACTTTGCTTGAGTTACTATCGGAGGCCCTTGGTCTCCAAGCAGACCACCTAGGCTCCATGGAATGTGGTAAAAGTTGCGGCCTTTTCTGCCACTACTATCCAGCATGCCCTGAGCCTGAACTGACTCTTGGAGCAAGCTCGCATACAGATCCGAGCTTCTTCACTCTGCTTTTGCAGGACCAGATAGGTGGCCTCCAAGTCTACCATGAAGGCCAATGGGTGAACGTCAACCCCATTCGTGGAGGTGTTATAGTGAACATAGGAGACTATCTCCAGTTTTGCCTTAGATACCTATTTATTTACATTTTTGGTATATCAGATGGCAATTTGTATTATAGGAGATGAATCATCCCTTACTAATCTGGAAGTTCCATGTTCAACCTGAAGAAAATCTCGTCTCCTTAAAGACATACTTGCACATGCTCTTAAAACTTTTTATGTTATTTCTGTAGATGGTATCGAACGACATATTTAAGAGTGTAGCTCATAGAGTGACAGCCAACCACACTGGACCTAGAATTTCTGTGGCATGCTTCTTTCTCGGAGATGGTGGAATGGATGAGAAGCCATTTGGCCCTATCAAAGAGTTAATCTCAGAGTCAAGTCCTCCTCGATACAAAGAATTCCTTGTTAGGGAATTTATGATCAAATTTTACTCCAGATCACTAGACAAGTCTGGTCTTGATTATTACAAGATATGAAGTTAACATGACAGTCATTATGGAACAATGATATTTTCACCGTCCGAGAAGCAAAGATGAAAGTCTAATAATGGTGCTTTTGAACTTTATGGATTATTTCAAGTTTCAGTAATGCTATGTTATGTTGGTGTTGTCCTTGTTATTACTTTCCAGATTCTGCAAGAACATAAAAATTGGCAGAAAATGTTCTTAATTAAGGAAATATTGTATTTGAATTTCTTTAAATATCATATTTACTTAATGTTAACACAAACGA